GGATGGCGGTGGTGGTGACTTATAGTAGTATGGTGGTGGAGGTGATGGTGATGGGGGTGGTGGCGACTTGTAGTAATATGGAGGAGGAGGAGAAGGTGATGGTGGTGGAGGGGATTTATAATAGTAAGGAGGTGAAGGCGATGAAGATGGAGGTGGTGGTGATTTATAATAGTATACAGGGACATGTTTTGGTGATGGTGGAGGTGGAGACTTGTAGTAATAAGGAGATGGTGGAGACTTAGTTGGTGGCGGCGAAGATTTGTAAACGTATGTCGGAGTTGGGGGAGGTGGTGACTTGTAAACATATGTTGGTGATGGAGGAGGTGGTGACTTGTAAATATAAGTCGGCGATGGAGGTGGAGGAGATTTGTAGTAGTATGGAATAGGCGTAGGCATAGGTTTTGTGCATTTGGCATAAGGTGTCTTAGAGCCATAAGCAAATGGTTTTGCATAAAGTACAACTTCATAATGGTTCTTTGACTTCACTTTAAGGTTAGCACCCTTTACTCCCCAATGAAGATTTGTAGGAATGTCACAATTTGAATCCTTTGGAGCACTGTGTAGTTTAGCCTTGCAAGCCTTTGCTCCATATTTGGCATATTCAAATCCTTTAACAGTAATACTGAATTTGCCGTTGATCTTTGTGGTACCATAACTCACAATTTTCTTGTCACCAGTCTTACAAGTTACCTTAACAATGGCACCTAATTCATGTAAAAAAAAAGAATAATATATTAATAAACACTAAAATAATTAAGCATCTAACATATATTTCCCGACCTTAGAACCAAAATTTATTTTTCATAATATAAAACTAACTCTTCGATCACATGATAAAAACTAATTTTTTCTAACTTTACTTAATTATTCTTATTCCTTTTTATTAATAAAGCAACAAAAAGGAAAATATATAGTTAAATAAATTTTTGATGATAAGTTAAAAGTAAATAAAGAGAGTGGGCATGGTATAAAAACGGTACCTGTTAGGTGTTTCTTGTCATGAGACTTTTCTGGGTATTTTAAATTATAGCATCTAAAACAGTAGACTTTTCCGACAACCTNATTTTAAATCATAGCATCTAAAACAGTAGACCTTTCCGACAACCTTGACCACCAAATGATGATGTGGAGGATAGTAATGAGTAGGTGGTGGCGGTGAAGTGTAATAGTATGATGGGGGAGAAGACTTCTTTGGTGGTGGTGGGGAGGTGTAGTAGTATGGAGTTGGAGGTGACTTTACTGGTGGTGGTGAGGAAGAGTAGTGGTATGGTGGCGGTGGTGATTTCTTTGGTGGTGGTGGAGAAGAGTAGTAATATGGTGGAGGAGGTGATTTCTTGGGTGGTGGTGGTGAGGAATAGTAATATGGTGGAGGAGGAGACTTAACTGGTGGCGGTGGGGAACTATAGTGATATGGTGGCGGAGGTGATTTCTTGGGTGGTGGTGGTGAGGAATAGTAATATGGTGGAGGAGGAGACTTAACTGGTGGTGGTGGGGAAGTATAGTGATATGGTGGCGGGGGTGATTTCTTTGGTGGTGGCGGTGAGGAATAATAATATGGTGGAAGAGGAGACTTTACTGGTGGTGGTGGAGAACTGTAATAGTATGGGGGAGGAGGTGACTTAGCAGGTGGTGGTGGAGACTTATAGTAGTATGGTGATGGTGGTGGTGGTGATGGAGGAGGCGGAGACTTGTAATAGTAAGGTGGCGGAGGTGAAGGTGAAGGAGTTGGTGGAGATTTATAGTAGTATGGTGGAGGAGGTAAAGGAGAAGGTGGTGGTGGAGACTTATAATAGTAAGGTGGAGGTGGTGATGGCAAGGGTGGTGGCGGAGATTTATAATAATATGGTGGTGAAGGTGATGGTGAAGGTGGAGGTGGCGACTTATAATAATATAGAGGTGGTGGTGAAGGTGATGGTGGAGGAGGAGATTTGTACACATACGGGGGCGGGGGAGATGGCGAAGGAGGAGGTGGTGATTTATACACATAAGGCAGTGGGGGTGAAGGTGATGGAGGTGGAGGAGACTTATACACATATGGTGGCGGGGGAGATGGCGAAGGAGGAGGTGGTGATTTATACACATATGGTGGCGGGGGAGAAGGTGATGGAGGAGGTGGAGATTTGTACACATAAGGTGGTGGCAGAGAAGAAGATGGAGGTGGTGGTGACTTGTACTCGTATACTGGAGGTGGTGGAGAAGAATATATATAAGGATCTGCTGACACTACATTAGCAACCGCCAATATGGCCAATGCCACTAAGATTTGTGGCAAATATCGACGACCCTTGGCGGGGCCGCCACCGTGAAACTGACTCATTTTGCCGGAAAATTGCTGCACTAGCCTCCCAAATATGGCTAGTGAAATCTCGAAAAACTTTGAAGGGGTAGAAGAAGAAAGGAAGTAGTGTTGAAAGCTGATGCCTTAAAGGGATTCAGTGGCCAATGTATTTATAGTAACGTCCCTAGGGAAGTAATTGCTTGTAAAGAGCTGTTTAAAGGACCAATTCAATTGGTCTGATTGATAACCAAAGACTAAAAATTATTAACAACTCTTAACAGCTGGATCTACCAATTATCATCTTATTAATTAAAGTCCATTTCTGGATCACTTTGAATATTTCCATAGTTTCTTTTTAGCAAGTAGTACCTGCTACACAGAAAATGGAGGAAAGCCAAGTGATTGCTATTTTTAAATATTTCCACCCTCTTGGCATTTTGGTTTTCATGAACACTGAGATATCATACAATTATTGGTCGTTTTGTGAGTTTCCTTGTTATTTCTATATACAGCTCTAACTAGTGTAATCTAATAAGTAAGGTATGGAGGACAGTATGTACCGAGACCTTACCCTACCTTGGGAAAGTAGAGAGACTATTTTCAATAGACCTTCGGCTCAATGAAAGATAAAAAAAAGAAATCGTAAACAACAAGTAGTAACACCAGCAATCCAACAAAAAAATCGAAGCGAAAGAAACATCAAATAGTTATAGAAATCTATTTATAACAAAATACAAGACAAACACTGCTACTACTGGTACGAATAAGGAAAACACTCGACTACCTAGCCTTCTATCTTAGTTTTCGACCTCCACACCTTCCTATCAATTTGGATGTGAAGAAGGAAAATTAAACAATGCATGTTTTCTTGTAATATTAAGAATTTTTTCCCCTTCATTTTCATCAAGCAAAGTAAAATACTACTAAGTACTTTTCTTTTGCATGGAATTTTTGTTTTAGGGTCACCGGTGATGGCTAAAGAAATTACTTGTTGCCAACTGGAAATGAACATTTTATTTAATATTGATATGTTTCAGCAGTTAATACCGTGTCAGAAGAACCTTCTAATTTGTAGATTCATATGTTAGTTTTTAGTTTTTTTTGGCCAAAATTCCTATCTTAAATAAGAGAATGATTGTTTGTGAGAAACTAGATGAGTTTTTAAAGTCCTATTTTGAGGTAACTAACGTGATTTCATAATGAGTTTAACTTATATGAATATACAGTGTTTAATAAAATTTTATATTGACATAGTATATTTGCGCATTGTAGCAATAACTTGTTTTATTTTCAAGACTATAAATCTACCTTGTATGGAGAGGGTTTTTTTCTTTTGTTTTTGTTTGGTATCTCATGACTCGATGTTCCGGTGAGCTCGACTAATCCGGATTTAAATTGTAAAGTCCCAAATTTTGGGTAAAACACTCTCTACATGTGAGTTTATTTTCCGAGCTCGAATTCAAGACCTATAATTAAAGAGAGAGGATATTTTACTTAAGAATAGAAGGCACTTTATTTTCCACCCCATCACAACCGTGGATAATTATGGAAAGTTACTGGTAGAAAAGTGAAACCAATACTCCTATTAAGTATTATGTGGATATTATTTTCTCACAAGTGGGGTTCACGTATACCCTTTGACCGTTAGGTCAATACTGAATTAAAAATAATTATTATTTAAATTTCACGTGGTAACTTCTTATTGACCAAAATTAAAATATCTAACCCATAAGAAAGGCCCATCCATATCTAACATTTTTTGTACTAACCCACTTTAAACACTAACCCGATTCGAACAAAAAGTTCAACTAAAAAAAAGAGGCCCCACTTCTATTAAACTCCGTAGAACAAAAGCTCCATGGAAGTTGCAGCAAATATATAGACGCAAACTTACTATGTGGTTTTTTTTTTTTCTATTTATGGCATCCAGTTCAATTTGCATGATAGACACAAATTACATTATATTCAAGATGAGTTTAATTTAATCATTTTCACATAACAGAATGATCTCAAAGTGATTGTTTGGAAGATATCATAAACCGTTGGACTACCCCTAGTTTTCCGTCCCACATTATTGTCAAAAAATTCATTGGCTCATTCATGCTAGGCTTTTCTTGTTTGTTTAATTTTTTCATGAACCTTTATTTAATGATAATGTTATACATGAGATTAATCAAGAAAATGAACACATGTAAATCCATGGTTTAGATGGAAGTGGGGCGTCATTTTTTTATTTAAACTTTTTATTCGGGTCAGATTAATGTTTGGGGTGGATAAGTCCGAAAAACGGGTAGATATGGGTGGGTCTTTCTAATAGGTTAGATGTTTTAATTTCGACGAATAAGAAGTTGCCACATGAAATTTAAATAATTATTTTTAAATTCAGCATTGACCTAACGGTTAAAGGGTATAAGTGAACAAAAAAGGTGGATGAAAGATATTTTTAGCCCAATAAGTGGATGGGGGAGGTATTTTTTGACCTTTTTCAATAGTTTCACTAGCATTTTTGACCCTTCCCGAATATAAAAAGTACACGAGAGGTACGTGTATTACTTATATATGTCTTGAACTTCTTTTACCTTAAAACTATTAAAGGTCTTAAAATAATTATTGGTATTTTCATTTTCAAATTTTTTTATATAAGGATAAGACTTATTTATTTGTTTACCGAGTGGAAAAAGCAAAAAGAAAAAACAGTGAATATAACGAAATTGATCTTCTTATTGATTTGTGCACAAAGTACACCAAGGTATTACAAGAAAACAACTTGCAATAACTAATAGGAAATGAATAAAACGAGGACATCCTCAATACAACAATAAATTACGAAAAAACAAACTCTATCTATGAAGAATCAAAGTTATTGTAGCCTTTTCCACGTGAATGCACTAGAGAACAATGTGCAATAAGAATCAATCCTTCAACTGAAAAATTGAATATCTTATTCCATAAATTAATTGCTTTGTGCCATTGATGTTTGAATCTTTTGCTCAAGAAGCCAGCATTTATTTTGTCCTTCAAATTAAAATCTGAAAACAAACAATGAAATATAAGATTAGAACTTAATTCAAAGAAAAGGAAAAGAAAAAGTTGATTTCATATGGAAAAGAAATACTCAATTTAAACGGCTACTCACTTGATTGATTATGGAGAATGGCTGAGCTCCTAGAAATATTTAGTAGTGCATTGGAGGTGGCGGAGAAGCATAAATGTATACTGGCGGAGGTGGTGATTTCACGGGTGGAAGAGGTGAGCTGTAGTAATAGGGAGGAGGAGGAGACTTTACTGGTGGAGGTGAAGAGTGGTAATAGTATGGAGGTGGAGGAGAAGACGACGGTGGAGGAGGGGACTTGTAGTAATAGGGTGGTGGCGGTGATGGAGATGGTGGTGGTGGAGACTTGTAATAATAGGGTGGTGGCGGTGATGGCGATGGAGGTGGTGGTGATTTATAGTAATAGGGTGGTGGCGGTGATGGAGATGGTGGTGGTGGAGACTTGTAATAATAAGGTGGGGGTGGTGATGGGGATGGCGGTGGTAGTGACTTATAGTAGTATGGTGGTGGAGGTGATGGCGATAGGGGTGGTGGCGACTTGTAGTAATATGGAGGAGGAGGAGAAGATGATGGTGGTGGAGGGGATTTATAATAGTAAGGAGGTGGAGGCGGTGGTGATTTATAATAGTATACAGGGGCAGGTTTTGGTGATGGTGGAGGTGGAGACTTGTAGTAGTAATAAGGAGATGGTGGAGACTTAGTTGGTGGTGGCGAAGATTTGTAAACGTATGTCGGGGTTGGGGGAGGTGGTGACTTGTAAACATATGTTGGTGATGGAGGAGGTGGTGACTTGTAAATATAAGTCGGCGATGGAGGTGGAGGAGATTTGTAGTAGTATGGAGTAGGCGTAGGCATAGGTTTTGTGCATTTTGCATAAGGTGTCTTAGAGCCATAAGCAAATGGTTTTGCATAAAGTACAACTTCATAATGGTTCTTTGACTTCACTTTAAGGTTAGCACCTTTTACTCCCCAATGAAGATTTGTAGGAATGTCACAATTTGAATCCTTTGGAGCATTGTGTAGTTTAGCCTTGCAAGCCTTTGCTCCGTATTTGGCATATTCAAATCCTTTAACAGTAATGTTGAATTTGCCGTTGATCTTTGTGGTACCATAACTCACAATATTCTTGTCACCAGCCTTACAAGTTACCTTAACAACGGCACCTAATTCATGTAAAAAAAGAATAATATATTAATAAACAATAAAATAATTAAGCATCTAACATATATTTCCCGACCTTAGAACCAAAATTTATTTTTCATAATATAAAACTAACTCTTCGATCACATGTTAAAAACTATTTTTTTCTAACTTTACTTAATTATTCTTATTCCTTTTTATTAATAAAGCAACAAAAAGGAAAATATATAGTTAAATAATTTTTTGATTATAAGTTAAAAGTAAATAAAGAGAGTGGGCATGGTATAAAAATGGTACCTTTTAGGTGTTTCTTGTTATGAGACTTTTCTGGGTATTTTAAATCATAGCATCTAAAACAATAGACCTTTCCGACAACCTTGACCACCAAATGATGATGTGGAGGATAGTAATGAGTAGGTGGTGGCGGTAAAGTGTAATAGTATGATGGGGGAGAAGACTTCTTTGGTGGTGGTGGGGAGGTGTAGTAGTATGGAGTTGGAGGTGACTTTACTGGTGGTGGTGGGGAAGAGTAGTGGTATGGTGGCGGTGGTGATTTATTTGGTGGTGGTGGAGAAGAGTAGTAATATGGTGGAGGAGGTGATTTCTTGGGTGGTGGTGGTGAGAAATAGTAATATGGTGGAGGAGGAGACTTAACTGGTGGCGGTGGGGAACTATAGTGATATGGGGGAGGAGGTGATTTCTTGGGTGGTGGTGGTGAGGAATAGTAATATGGTGGAGGAGGAGACTTAACTGGTGGTGGTGGGGAAGTATAGTGATATGGTGGCGGGGGTGATTTCTTTGGTGGTGGCGGTGAGGAATAATAATATGGTGGAGGAGGAGACTTTACTGATGGTGGTGGAGAACTGTAATAGTATGGGGGAGGAGGTGACTTAGCAGGTGGTGGTGGAGACTTATAGTAGTATGGTGATGGTGGTGGTGGTGATGGAGGAGGCGGAGACTTGTAATAGTAAGGTGGCGGAGGTGAAGGTGAAGGAGTTGGTGGAGATTTATAGTAGTATGGTGATGGTGGTGGTGGTGATGGAGGAGGCGGAGACTTGTAATAGTAAGGTGGCGGAGGTGAAGGTGAAGGTGAAGGAGTTGGTGGAGATTTATAGTAGTATGGTGGAGGAGGTGAAGGAGAAGGTGGTGGTGGAGACTTATAATAGTAAGGTGGAGGTGGTGATGGCAAGGGTGGTGGCGGAGATTTATAATAATATGGTGGTGGAGGTGATGGTGAAGGTGGA